ATATTGAGATATGGCCATTTAATTTTTTATACATCACTAGAATATAAGATTTAATATTAATCCAGAACAAAGAATAAAGTATTTTCTTCTTAAGATTTTTGTATGTTAAAATAATTCATTTAAAATTATATATGGTTTTCTCTTAATAACTTACAACTAAAAACATTTCTTTTAATAATTTCAGTTTGCATAAATTTCTAAAGATATACATATTTGAAATATTTAAGATTATGAATACATTAAAGGAGTTATTCTAGTTAAAGCTTAATGCATTAGACATTTAGGAGTTTAAAATTAGGCTCGGCGCCTATAGCTCAACCGGCTAAGGCGCCAGCCACGTACACCTAAGGTGGCGGGTTCGAATCCCCAGCCCGGACCTGCCAAACAACAATGATGGCTGCAACCAAAAAATAGCCGGGCATTGTGGCGGGCGCCTGTAGTCCCAGCTACTTGGGAGGCGGAGGCAGGAGACTCGCTTGAGCCCAGGAGTTGGAGGTTGCTATGAGCTGTAATGCCACGGCACTCTACCCAGGGGGACAGCTTGAGGCTCTGTCTCAAAAAAAAAAAAAAAAGGAGTTTAAAATTAAAAATTGGACATTTGAAATTTGCTTTGACAGTCTGATATTATGAGTAAATCCAATTCAAATTATAATTGTAGGCTTAACTAGCTGAACTTTTATACATAGTTATTAGCGAGAGAGTCTACTTCTATATTTTGCATCTTTGTGTTCAAAAAGATTGATTTCTAAACACTGTTCTAAATACTATTTCTGTGCAAAAATTCAGAGAAATCTTGTTTTAGTCTCCACATTTAATATTTTTTCTTTGGCCATAAGTATTCTAAAATTCATGAGATTTCTGCTGTTAGTAACACGTAAAAACCACTTCTTTGACAAATTACTTTTTCAAATGATTGTGAATAAATGAGTCATTGGTAATGAGTATACTATTAAGTAATATGGTAATAAAGTAGGAGAGTGATAACATTCAGGATTTTCCAAATGGTCCTTGCTGCTCTAAAAGACTTAATTCCGTCTAATAGCACATAATTTGTTTACACGGAATAATTTATTTCTTAGAAAGTTATGGTATTTAGGAAAAAATAATGAGTCAAATTTGAATTTTCAGGAAATCCTAATTTTATATTGCAGTAATAGAAATAGAAACCAAAATCTCTACGGTTATATTACTACTACTTATGCACAACTTAAATCTCTTTAATATTTATTTAGTAATTGAAATATTATTTGAATCTCTTGTCAATTTTTACTTTAACACAGTGGAATGGCTGTACTAGACTTAGTCACCAAACTCACATAGCTACTGAGATGTTGAAATAAAGAAATATGGTTTTCTTGGGTGTTTTTTTGTTTTTTAAAAGTTGTTTAAAGTGAACTCTGACTAGAGAGATGGGTGGGAGTCCAGAAGCTTGGAGCTATCTGCTTCCAGACCAGGTTAGTGACATGACATCATTTTCACAAAAAAGTTGTTTTTCTTCATGGTGAGAGTTGGTGGTCTTGGTCCTTTTAATTAAAGATAAGAATCCATGATAAAATTAGATTTTTTGGATGATCATCTTATGCAGAAGAACTGTGGATTCATTGGTAAAGAACCACTAACCTGTCCTCTCACCCCCAGGGTGTGAGCAGTGAAAAGGATTAAGGCCCACTGTAGGGAAGCTTGCACTGAAGCTGCACTGCCCTTTCCCCTGTTCTTTCAGCTAAATAGAAGATTTTTAGTTCCCATGACTATCAATCTGGTGCTTTTCACAAGCACTAAATTCTTTTAAGGAAATTAAGATGACTTATTTTTAGAAACTGGCTTAGAATACTGAAAGATGATGTTTTGTTGGTAATGTGTTTTATGTTGATGGATCCTATACATACTGTTTTTTCTTGATACGTATTAGTTTACTTTAACTTATTTTGAATTTGGAGGTCAACATAAATGTTTAAGAACAGGTTTTTGTATAATTAGATTTGTGTCTCCAGTTAGTACGTATAGAGTTGGTAGTGTTGAACCTTTTATTTTATTGGTAATACTGCCTGATGGTCTTGTGGACATAAACTCTTAACTTTTATTGCTTGGTGACTACTGTTAAAAGATGCTTTATTTTCATGTTTAAAAGCTTTTAAAGAGGTTTTGTAAATGCTGGAGTGTCATTTCTTTTTTCAGTATCTGCCAATTGGCATTGTATTTAATCTTGAAAATATATTTTGATTTTGCAACTAAAAGTAATTGCAGAGTATTAAACATTGTCACTAAAGCATTTTTTTCATTTAATTTGAGCTTTTGTTGTTACTAACAAATAATTTGTGGCACAGCCTCCCCTCCCCCACTTTTAAAATGACTGTTAGAATCTATATACTTGTCACCTTACTGTGCTAGAAATGTTCCACTCAAATCAAGGGTTCCTTTCTGGTTTTGTATATTCTCACCTGCTCCTCACTGTAAATCATTGAGATGTCAAGGGCAATGATTAATTAAGCTGCACGTGCAAGTGCTTTTTTTTCACCTGTCAAGCAGGAAAGAAGTCTTATATAACAAGATTAGATGGTGCTAATTCACAGCTTTTACTTTAGACTGTCAAGTGTGTAGAAATATTTTATATTTAGACGCTTATTCAAAATATGGTGTATCAGGATTTGTTTGGCTTAGAATTCTTAATTATTGTAAGATGCAATTATTATACCAAACTCTTATCATTAAACTCCTAATTAGAGGCAAAGAATAAATTCAGAATTCCTATATAAATATTTTAGAATTTAAGATTCATATTTTGTAATTATATTTTATTCAAAAACTGGTAGGTAATTTAAGTTACTTAAAGTAAATAGTTTTTAAGTTGAATGTATATATTATAATGAAATCTATTCTTATTATGGCATTGGGTTATATTTTTGATGAAATGATAGTACAACTACATTTTTTTCCTTTGAATAATAAATACTTGTAAAATGTACTGTTAAGCTTTTGGGTACAATTTTTATACATTAATATAAGACAACAAACTTGGAAAGCTTATTCCCCACGTCCTAGTTCTCCCCCCCATCAGTAAAAGTAAAACCTCAAATTGTATAGTAATCTTAATCTATTATTAAAAGGTCCCAGAAAGGAAGATTACAAGGTGGATTCAGGTTTTGAATCGGTTTTGCCATTGGTTTAGCAGCGGGTGGGCAGGCAGATGCTGCTCAGAGTAAACCTATGGCCATTTTTCACCATTGATAGAGTAGCCTTTCAGAGTCAATGAGCTCTGTCAATGTGAGCTTGTCAAGGCTACAACTTCATAGACCTGAGAGGCGGTTTGAGAGGTCAGCCCTTTTCAGGTTCGCTGTGATGCAAATGAACTTTAATGCTTAAACAACTATTGGAATTTTTATGTCTGCTCCTTGTTCTTTTTTCTTCACAAAGTCATTGACGAGACATTCAGTGCTTTTTAAATTGGAAGTTGCATTGTGCTAAAGACCTAGTACAGATTTACGGAGGGCTGAAAGCAGTTAGATCATGTTCTTTTCATGGTGCGATTAGAATCAAATCGATTTCCCTACAGCCTTCAGCATTCAGATGGCAATTTTAACAAAGCTTGGGGGCTAGACAAGGGACAAAACGACTGAACTGAATGTTAATTACACTCTGCAGCCTTATTTTCTTTTGATTTGGGGCTGACTGGCAACTAAATTAACAAAAAGTGTGACCATAACTGCTGCCCTATTTTCATTTAAAAGGAGAGCTGCCTCTAAAAGGCTATCTTTACAAAGAAACAAGTGAGGTCTGCTGATCATTGTTAACAAGGGCACTTTTTTTTCTTTAAAATTCTTGCCAAAAAGACTGTTCAAAAAAAGTAATGTAATAAATTAATCATTGGTGTATTATTGCCCAGAGAAGTAGTTGATTTTCTAATTTTTTATGACATAGCTTGGAAAATATAAAACAATAGTGATAATTCATCGGTGTTATGAATTATTTCTGGCACTTGTGTAACTGGTGTGTCTTTAGCATGTTCAGCACGCTAAAAGGTAACTAGCTTACAACAGATACTTTAAATACTAACATTCTATTGTGTAACTTTAAAATATTCAAAACCGGGTTAATCCTAACAATTCATTCTTGTTTGACATGTACATTTTCATATTTTATTATTAACATTTAAATTCTGCCACATTCATAGCAGTAGATAATTTTTTCCTTCCCTCTCAAGAAAGGTGCAGCTGTACCAGGTTGCAGTTGACCCAAAGTGGCAACACTGTCATTTTTCACCTGCAGCTGTGTCAGGCTCATCCTAACACCTGGCACCGTGCATTGTCCTCTCCTTTATTCATACTCCCATGCATGAACCATTTCATGCTGCATAGCGCTGGCACCAGTCAAGTGAAGTAAATTTCTCAGTGGATTCCTGAAACAGTAGTATTGAATCAAGAGCTTGATTTTACTATCAAATGGTACTTTTATGTTGGTGTAAAGAAAGTTTTGGCTCTGTTTGGAAAATCTATCTGAAATAGTCAGTAAGCTGGCTTTTAAATGTGACCATTATTTATAAGTATGAAGTACAAATTAGGTTTTTTTAACTCATTATTAACGTTTAGTTATTTTGTTTTTGAATCAACCTAAAGGCCATTTGCATTTTGTTAACTATTATTTATATTACTTTTGTTTTAAAATATATATTAAGGAAATTTCTTTACTATTTAAGTATTACAAAAATATTTTTGAAGGAAGTGGGAACTTAAATATATAACATTAGGTAGATGACATTAGCTTTGCAAACTCTGATAGTTTTATATCAGAGGCTAGAAAAAAAATTATAAAAACAAACCCATATCTTCATCAAAAAAGAGTACTGTTTCTTTTGAGATTACTGTTGAGTGCTTAGAACATTGATAGTGATGTAGACTGTCCTGCACTCAGTCACTGTCGGCACCTCTCTCTGTTCACACAAGAAGCAGCTGCAGAGTTTTTCTCAAACCAGTCAAGAGTAAACTTTTTTCTCATTTGTCTTCCAGACACGAAGATCGATTGAGAAGTTATTAGAATGGGAAAACAATAGGTTATACCACAAGGTGAGTACCACAGGGAGCAGCTTCGTACTTATGGGGTCTGAATTGCACAGTATGGAAACAGATGCTTTTGTTGAACTAAAAATATGAAAGGTGGACAAATGGGTTAGTCTGTGTGCTGCAGTAAAATAGAGCTCATTTTTCTTCTTTTACTCTCCTCCTTGTCTAGCTGTGCTTGCACTGGAGACTGAGCAAAAGGAAATGTGAAACGAATAACATGATGGAATATGTAAGTTAAAGGGCTGTTTTGTGAGTTTCTCTATTAAATGATCATTTATTTTGCTTCTGATCTTATTCTTTTCATGATTATTAATCAGCAAAGGTGTCAGAAGCTTAATCTCCTGAGTGCAAGGATTTTCTACGGTTCACAGATGCATGGTTTCATGTGCAAGACTGATTCATAAAGTTATGAATGACTTGAAAACAAGGCTTCACTGTGTTCTGAAGAATAATAAATTAATTGCCAAGATAAAATAGCCTGAACATGTGTTGATGGAGTGTGAAATTTTAGATGCTGTATAAAGAATAACCACAACTTTGGTTACGCAGCAAGTCAGATATGGCTTTTTTATATAATGCTAATCCAGTTTCCAAGTATGGAAGAAAACCTTTCAGCCAAGCCATTGGAGCTTAAGAAACCTTTAGCCTTTATAGATTTTGACTGCCCATACTTCCAGTGGCCTTTAAAGAATCCTTAAAAAGTGTTATTAGATTATTGCTTCATAGAAATTATGTTAAAAGTAGGCTGGAGATGAGATGTTCATTATCCTTTGTTTATTCCTTCAAAGATATCTAATTTGACATGTATATACAAGGAATTTTAGGGTTTTTTTTTCAGTGTAAATTAATTTGCTGACTTCTTGATTTACTTTAACAATTTTTCTCCTTTTGAAAAATTCAGAATATACTATAGAAAATTATGAATTTTTACTTATTCTCCCTTGAGCTTGGGTGCTGTATTTTAAATATGGAAAGGTTATTACATTTAAAAAAATGATCTAAGGAAGAGTTAATTGTTGAAGATTTAAGTGAGAGCCTTTGTAAAGTACCTGGTATAACTCTTGTCTGTTCTTTGAAACAATAGAGCCATCATAGATCATGTGCATGTATGTAAAAGATTGATTAAAATAGTGTTTAAATAGTTGGAAATTATCATAAAATTATTTTTACTGTCAGCATTTTCCTGTTCTTTGATTATCATACAGTCAAATCCCATTTTTAGCCTTGGACATAAAAGATATTTTTAAAATGTCTTTTTTTCTCAGACTAGCTCTCTTTAATGAACTGAATAAGGTAGATTTTACCTTTCTCTATTATATCAAACATGTTAATTTATGATGGTGAGAAAGACACCTGATGCTTCTTTATAACATAAAGCACGTTCAAGTAACTTGTTTGGGGTTCACCTATGAAAATGCTAGTTTGTATTTTCATGAAGAGTTAGTATATTTTGGGGAGAGGGATGGATATTTAGGAGATTTAAGGGATTTTATGAAATAATTATCTGCTACATTTATAAACCCATACATTACACTTAAAGTTGAAGCATTAATTTTGTGTGTGTGTTTCTAGATTTGCTTTGAAGAAGAAAATATAAAACTTATTCCCCCATGCTGTGTTTTCCAGATAGAGCAATAGGAATTTCATTCCTGTGTAAATGATACTTCTTATTTTTATTGTACGGCATTCTTTTGTCAATCAAAATAATTCAGTAACCTTCTAAAACATTCTGAACTATGTCCTTGCTTTGTAAAATAGTTTTCTTGAATTTTTAGATAATTAAGCATTTCTATAAAGCCACTATATTATTTTCCACATCATTATAAAAGATATCCAGAAGAGTAGTAAAAACAAAAAAAATTTTTTTTTTCTCTTTTGAGACAGAGTCTCACTTTATCACCCTCAGTAGAGTGCGGTGGCGTCACAGCAACCTCTAACTCCTGGGCTTAGGCAATTAAATCTTTTGCCTCAGTCTCCCGAGAAGCTGGGATTACAGGCGCCCACCACAACACCTGGCTATATTTTTGTTGCAGTTTGGCTGGGGCCGGGTTTGAACCCGCCACCCATGGTATATAGGGCTGGCACCCTACCCGCTGAGCCACAGGCACCCCCAAAACAAAAAATGTTTTTAAATTGCTGGGTAAAAGCTGGTAGGCAGTGGCACATGCCTGTAGTCCCAGCTACTTGGGAGGCTAAGGTGAGATTGCTTGACCCTGAAAGTTTAAGAATAGTGAGACCCTGTCTCCTAAAAAAATAGTTTGTGCCTGGAAAAATGTTTCTCTGGACTTTTTTCAGGTGTATATATTTGAGATTATTGAATATGGGAGTAATAGTCAGAAACTCCCTAAAAATGCAAGAAGTTAAACTAGCAAATGTAAAAAGAGAGTACCTTTTATTTAATGAATTTGTATCTTTTTAACATGTATCCCTCTTTTGCCCTCAACTTTTCTGTAACTTACAGAAATTTTGTTTGTTAAAGGAAAATACTCCTTGATTATAATTTGAATATTGGAGATCATCTAGAAAAAATACCAATTTGATACTAGTTTTCCTTTATTCAGAGACAGTAGAGACTTATGATTTAGAAAACAAGTGAACACTTTCTATGTGTGGCTTCTGAAGGAAAAGAGATTGTGGGATATGTTCTTTAAAAACCAACTCAGATACATGGTATAGTCAAAGGTGGCCCTTACGTTATGTAGTATATACTGCGAATGTGATGCCCATGCCTGGGGACTGAAATTGTAAAGACCACCTGATGAGGACATGTTTGACATTGACATATAGAAGTATTCATTGAATGCTAACCCTTACGTAGTTTTAAACATTTAGAGCTGCAAAGAATCTTGTCTTCTAGTCTAATCCCTTTATTTTATAGATGAGAAACCTGAGAAACCAGAAAACCTAGCCCAGATGAAGAAGCTGTATAGGAGAAAGTATTTTAACAGGGAGCTAGTAAATATTTTATAGGCTAATAACTGGTCAGGAGAGTGACAGATGTGGCACCTACGGGTCAGTGCAGAATAACTAGAGCAGGACAGGAAGGTGTTTGAGCCACAGACAGAAGTACCTTCTTTACTGAGGCAGATTAAAAGTCTGGCCCAGACAGCTTGTAGGGTAGTCATACAAAGGTACAGTTTCTGAAAAAGAATGAGGAGTTTACCAGACTTAGAAACTGTTCAGATCATATTATTTTTTAGTAAACATCTATGCCATACGGAATTAGAGCAAGGGAAAGAGTTGATTGTGATTTAAGACAGTTCAAGTTTGCCATAAAAATTAACTGGCCATCTTAGGTATTTCTGTGTTACTATATTTTCTTTTTGTTGGTTTTCCTCTAGTTTTCTATTAAAAGATCTTTGGGACAAATTTTAACCTTTAATTTTGCTAACCTAAGAAGAAAAGAGCTTTAAAAAATTAAGAGATAAAGGACCAATATCCTTTATCTAGAAATTACATGCCCTGGTCACAGTAAAGTGAGAGCAACTCTAGAAATTAAAGAAGACCCATGGAATTGGGTTGATAAAAGGGAAGAAACCTGAAGAAAAATACCTGGGTCAGCTGCATTTACATAGTGCAGTTACTAATAGAAAGGGCAAGGCTTGGAGTTAAAACAGCTTTTTCTCAAATGCTGACTCCACAGTGGTGATATAATATCTTGGATCATCAGTTTCCTTATCTGTAAAATGGGGATGATAATAACTTGCTGAATAGAAAAGCTCTTGGGATTTAGAAGACCACATAATGGGAAGCCCCTGGTCTGCAGCCAGTTCTCAGTAAACGCCAATCCCCTGTTCTAACAGATGCCCACTCCTCCAGCTGTCAGGGGCGCTGTCTGGATCACCCACCTCCACTTACCTTCTCAGACTTGGGTTATTACTTTTTTATCTTCCTTTTCATAGAGCTGAGGTATTTTGTTACTTGATAAAGGTCCAGAAATCAAAAGAAAAATTCCCAATGATGGAACTCTAGATTGATCAGATAAATGATTATTTTATATAATGCAAAATTGTAATTTTAAAATGTTGAATGAACTTTCAATTTTTTCTTAAGTAATAGAATGTAACAAGTTTTAAGAAATATTTTAAAAACTTTTTCTTCTCTTTTTACAGGTCATCCTCATAGAATTTTTACCAAAGACACCGATTTTTCGACCAGATTAGCATTTACTTTATTTATAGAGACTTTCCAAGTATGTTGTCTTTCCAATGGTGCCTTGCTTGGTGCTCTCCTGGTGGTGACATAACATTGGTTCTACAGAATCGTGTGGTGTTTTTTTGTTTGTTTGTTTGTTTTTTTAAATAACCGCATGTTCTAAGTGTGCATTTTTGTCAAACTTTGCAACAGTTATTTCATACAGATGTTTAATACTTAAGTTATTGTGCTCTTTTCTGTTATGTATTCTGATTTTCAAAGATTACTTTTTTGTATTATCAAAAAAATACATTTGAACTTAGCATAAAAAGTGGCCAGCCTTTTTTATTTTATCACTAAGGTACTCACAGTTCTCTACCTATAAATTCCTTAACGTAGAAAAACACCTTTGTAAGGCTTTCCTTATCCATTCTGTTATAGCAAGCACACTCTTTGTTATTTTTTTCTTCCTTTTTAAACATCAAATAGTCATTATTTTGAAATAATAAGTTTTCTTTATAGCCTTTTGGAACCTAACATAACCTTAATGATACAATTCCTTATGTTGTTTACAGCAGATATATCTGTAACATTATGATCTATCAAAAAGTTTTGAAGGCATTTCTGTCTAAGACAGGAATAAATTATTTTTATTAGAATAGATAAATTGATGAATGATATGCATGCATCTAATGGTTATTAGAGCTCAGGATCACAAAATAGAATTAACACCACAATCTCTGTGTATTTTTGATCAAGATGAAATTAATAATGGCCTTACTTGGGTTATTTTTATTGTTTATCAAATCTTATATACAAAAGAATGAAAGTATTCCTTTTAAAAATTTCTAAGGAAAGTATTTCTCCCACTCTCATACAATTGTAGAATGGATGTATATTTCTGAAAAGTTTTTGAAAGAAAGTAAAAGTTCTAGAATTAAAAGTAGCTGGTGTTTAATGCTCCATTATATTTAGAACAGATTATTACCAAGAAATGGAGGGTATATTTAGTACTGTTTTTATCCACTAGTTTGCTTTTGGTCCAGTTATGTATACCTTTTTTGACTGAGAGTATGACATACTAAGTCTAAATCAGATTAGCTTGTTTCTTTTAAATATACACATAAACACAGAGATTTTTTTTTTCCTGCTTTTGGTTGTACATAATCTCCATTTTAAAACTTTTTAGATTTGTAAATGACATATATGTAAATTTTTGTTTTTATAAAACTGCAATTATACAAGTTTTAATGTGTGTCAAGAACTTGTTACATACAGCTGTGGTATCGAGCAATAATGTGAATAACTCTTGAAATTATATAAACTATGCTTAATAATTTGTATTAAGAATTGGTACCACTATACAATACTTTCTTCTCCTTATATTAAATCTTTAAATACTAGTTTCATTAATTTATATACATGTATTTTAAAAAAGTATTTCTTTGTACTTCAAAGTACTATAATTCTATATAAATTTGAATAGTTAAATGTCCTATATCCTATATTGGATATTAGGAACTATCTTTAAAAAATGGTTTTTTTTGTTTTGTTTTTGTTTGAGATTTGTTTCCGTTGCCCCCCAAATAACAACTTGAGTTAATTAAAGATCACTTTACCTGTGAAGAGCTCAAAGTACAAAGAATTCAAATACTTCTCACTTCATTTAACGTGTGTCTGGGGTATGTCCTACCAACCTAAAGTAGTGCAATTAATTAAAAGCAATGCTGTCCAAAAACTCCAGTATTCCTCTGTGGTTTCAGTATGAAAAATAATTATATTCTCATACAATTACTAAATCTGCCTCAGGATTCAGAAAGAGCAGAAAAATGTAATGACTGTGTATACTACACAACACAGTGCTCTCTTTGTACAGTGTGTGAGTCCGTGGAGTGCCATATTGATCAGCTTCATAGGAAGAACTTACCTATTTAGGCATAGTTTTTATCCTGTTATTAGTCTTCTGCAATCATAGTTTTATAACTGTATTTCTGTAAGAATGTCTTACAGTAAGATAATTTTCACAACTGATGATACTAAGTATAGGATTTTAAAAGTTTTTCTGACTTATTGGGAGGTATGTCAACTGCCTAAAGATTCCTTAGAAATGTGCATTTCCAGTGTATATATAGAGAAGAATTGTGAATGCTTAACATGTGGCATCACCATAAGCCAGTTATGCCTTGAACAGTTAGATTTTCATTAGTTTCCTACAGTATAATTCTAGTAGCTTATCTTTTCTTTTCTTTTCTTTTTTTTTTTTTAGATGGAGCCTCAAGCTATCCCCCTGGGTAGAGTGCCATGGCATCACAGCTCACAGCAACCTCCAACTCCTGGGCTCAAGCGAGTCTCCTGCCTCAGCCTCCCAAGTAGCTGGGACTACAGGCGCCGGCCACAACGCCTGGCCATTTTTTGGTTGCAGCCGTCATTGTTGTTTGGCGGGCCAGGCTGGGGATTCGAACCCGCCACCTTAGGTGTATGTGGCTGGCGCCTTAGCCACTTGAGCCATAGGCGCTGAGCCAGCTTATCTTTTCTTAAATCATGAATTTAAGTGCCCATGTTACTGGAAATCAGAAATGTTGGCTTGGTGCCTGTAGCTCAAGTGGCTAAAGCACCAGCCACATACACCAGAGCTGGTGGGTTTGAATCTAGCCCGGGCCTGCCAAACAACAATGACAACTACAACCAAAAAATAGCCGGGCGTTGTGGTGGGCATCTATAGTCTCAGCTACTTGAGAGACTGACACAAGAGAATTGCTTGAGCCCAGGAGCTGGAGGTTGCTGTGATGCCACGGCACTCTACCCAGGGCAACAGCTTGCGGCTATCTCAAAAAAAAAAAAGAAAAGAAAAAAAAGAAATGTTGCAGATGCCTATATTACGTAAACATCAGTCAGGAAATATTTAAAAATGATGATTGTTGTTAAACTTCTGTTTTTCTGACTTAAAGTTTATGGTACATGAACCATAGGACTTTTTAAACTGACCAAGGAAAAATATTATTGGTAGAAAATTTAATGTATAGATTTTGCTTGGGCTAAGTGAATAACTTAACGATCTTTTTTATACATTGCTGACATTTTATAATGAGTTACCATTTCTGTGCAGAAACATTCTTTTCTCAGTATATTTTGTAAACCTTATTATATTTTACTACATAGCTTTGGCTATCTGGGTTAAAATAGATACTCCAAAAGTTAATGATGAGAATAAAACTGATGTGACACATTTAGCTTCTAAGGTCAATTGCCTCTCCCTCACAGGGGGTCACTTTATCTAAAATGATCATCAGGCTGGGCACAGAGTCTCACACCTGTGATCCTAGCATTCTGGGAGGCCCAGGCAAGTGAATGGATTGAGCCCAGGAGTTTGAGACCAGCCTGAGCAAAAGTGAGACTCCAAAAATAGAAAAACTAGCCAGACATCATGGCAGGTACCTGTAGTCCAGCTACTGGGGAAGTTAAGGTAGGAGGATTGCTTGAGCCCAGGAGTTTGAGGTTGCTGTGAGCTATGTTACGCACGGCAACAGATTGAGACTCTGTCTCAAAAAAATAATAAAATAAATAAAAATGATCATCAGACACTTTATTAAGACTCTTTAATAATTAGGTTTCATTTATTGAAAATACAAACATGTAATTTCAATGTTTGTATTGAAACCTAAAATCAGAATAAATTCAACAAACTTTTGCATTATAGTAAACAATGCTTTCTTTTTCATATTAGAAAAACTAGTTTGTTTTTTTTTTTTTTTTTTTTTTTTGGCTGGGGCTGGGTTTGAACCCACCACCCTCGGCATATGGGGCCGGCATCCTACTTCTTGAGCCACAGATGCCACCCAGAAAAACTAGTTTTATACCTGAGTAATTTCAAATCAGGAAGAATCACAACTTTTCTCATGTTGTGATTCTTCAGTGTTATTTATAGAGAGCTTCTAATTTTTTTTTTTTGTATTAGTACACACAGGCCAACTATAAAAACGTAGACAGCATTCCATTTCAATCTTAGGTTGTAAAAGAATGATATTAAATAGTATGTGCAGTTGGACCCACAGTTGTGTAAGTTCAAACTACACTAGTTTTTTTTTTTATTGAATGGTAACTATGTACATTAATGCACTTCTGGGGTACAGTGTGGGGTTTTCACATGCAATCCGAACTACTTCCATCAAACTGGTCAACCCAGCTTTCATGTCATTTTCTCAGTTATTGTTTTAAAATGTTCACATTCTACTCTTAGAAAGATTCACTTGTACCCCTATAAGATAAACCTCAGAAGTGATCCCTCCAATCCCCCTCCCTCCACCCATTTCCCCCTCCCTTCTCCCCCCCAACTACACTAGTTCTATAGTATAACATCGTGTACCTAGACAGTTGCAGTTTTTATAGTATTTCACTTCATAATTATAATCTTTAACTGCATGATGTTTCACTATAAATATTTGATTTGCTTTTAGTCAGTAGTTACAAAATCAAATGTGCGATGTGTTTAAAATTGTCTTTGATGGAACTCTAGCATCTAATTCTAGACCCTCTTTCCTTCTGTTTTTCTGGACACCATGGATCCTTTCACCCAGGCCTGGACATAATTCAGAACTGCCTTTTATTTTTCTCAAAGCTCCCACTGAGGATGTTAATTCTTTTGGATTCTTAGCTGGGTGTTTAGAACACCAATTAAAGTGAAGTCACATTAAGTAGTGATGAATGGCTGACACCCTTAATTCTGCTAAGGTGGTACTTGCATTTTAAAAAGGAATTTCTTAATTGGTTCATTGATGCAGTTGAGATTTTCCTTCTCTAGAGCCCCTATTGGTCCAGATTTTCTAGAGAGAGGGGAATGAGGATGATTGGATATGAGTCTGCTTCTCAAACCATTGTTTTTGAAAGAAGCTGATTTATAATTAATAACTATAATTATAGTTTTGGGGAAGAAAGAATAGGCCAGTCCTAAACCAAATTATCCCACAATGGTTTGTGTTTACATGGTTACTTTTTAAAAAGAAATAAGGTAGCTCTTAATATTTCCTTAGTAGAATAGCCAAATATATGTTGTTTTTAGAAACCTATCTTTTATGTAATTTGAAATTTGAGGTATGTCTTTAAATCTTGAGTTATCTTGTCTGCACTTTACAAAGATCTTTAGGTAATAATTAAGAGAAGCCTAAACATGGTTTATATTATTAGTTATAATTCTGTTTACTTATTTCTACAACAAGGATCAATATGCTTTCCACTCCCAATGGCAAGTTGAACCAACACAGGGTGTTCATAACACTCAAAACAGAAATTTTGGATACTAATCTTGATTTTGATCTTTCTAAAGTTCTATAATCT